GCTTATATGATACGGATTTGACATTTGAGCGGGATTTTTGAGTTATTTAATTATTTAATTTTTTGATTTAAATAAATTTTAAATAAAATAAAGTCATATATTTGGGTACAAATATTATTTAAATAAAGTCTTAAATTTAAATTTAATAAATATAGTAATAGATATTAAATTTAATAAATATGGCATAGTGTCAAATTATGGATGGTTGGTTGTGAAAATTTTTCTCTCTAGAGCGATAACTGTCTAGAGTGAGAGAAATAGTAATTGCTTTTCACAGTTGACACTATGCCATGTTCCCATCGGAAATCGACTGTTTCTCCCAGTATCCAACCAGTAGTGACTTCTGATTCCTTTGCTGGCAACATCTCTGGTGGTTCTTCTCCGCAGTTGGTGGCAATCCTAAGCAAGAAACTTCATGACGAGGTCAAGATGATAATCGAAGCTGTCCAAATTGCAGACCCATCGCTTTCTATTTCTCCAGCGACCTTGCTCCAAGCTCCTCTGGCTCTTCCGATCATGGGTTCTACTTCTTTTCCTACTCCGGCAAACTCCCCAGTAAAGTCTACCTGGGCCGATGTTGTTGCTAATTCTGGAAAAGGTACTCTGACTTTTCACCCACCTGAATTTCAGAATGGTAGATTAGTAGTTCCTGATGATGTTCATGTTGTGGGTTTGGAATCTTGGAATAATTGTTTAGTGGGTACATTTCTTGGTGGTTCCTCGTCCAACTATGGCAACATTGTTCATACTGTAAACAAACTTTGGGGTAGAAAGGGGAAAATAATTGTTACTGGAGTAGGAAATAACACCTTCCTGTTTCAAATTCCAGATCTTGCAACTAGAGAGTGGGTTCTTCATTCCAAGATTCCATGGCATGTGTCACAAAGAACTTTGTATCTCCAGCCATGGAAACCTAATCTGGATTTGTCCAAGATTAAACCCTCGAAGATACATATCTGGGTTAAAATTTGGGGAGTTCCTATGACTTTGTACACATCTCAAGGGCTAGGATATGTGGCTAGTGCCATTGGAGTCCCTGTTTGTCTTGATAAGGCCACAAAAGAGCGTGTTCACATCAACTATGCACAGGTGTGTGTTGAAGTGGATGCAGACAAAGTTGCAGATCTTCCATCCTCGATCCTTATTAATGGTGTGAACCAACAACCAATAGAGCTTCTCTTTGAGTATCTGTGGCTCCCTGTGCAATGTGGAAATTGCAAGAAGGAGGGACATCTTAAAAAGGACTGTACAAAGAAGTTCCAAAGGGAACCTATTAAGAAACAAGAATGGAAGGTAATCTCAAAGAAGAAGACACATGAAGAACTCGAGAAAGTGGTTTCTACTATTGTTATCCCTTCTCATTTGAGCATGCCGGATCTTGAGCTAGATAGTCAGCCCTTAGTACCAGCCAAGGATATACAGATAGTATCACCATCTATTTTACTTGGTTCAGTTAAAGTGGCCACTTCAACTTGCCAGCTAGTATCCATTAGCGATTCTCAGTAGCCAGTTCCTAAACCCATTTACTATTTTGGATGCCATGCAATCTAATTTGACAGAGCAAGAGTTTGCCCTTAAGCAGAAGAGATCTAGAGCTGCTTCTCAAGGTGTTGCTATAGCCACAAAAGCTTTATTGCCACGGCCAAGACAGTCCAAGAAAAGTTCAAACTCCTCAAGTGAGGTTCTTCACCCCCAGTTAAAATGAAGATTCTCTTCTGGAATGTTAGGGGCATTAACATGCCTAGTAAACAAAGAGAGTTGCAAAAGTATTTTATGTAATACAATGCTGATATTATTTGCTTACTTGAGACTCATGTTTAGCAGCAAAATTTTTTGGCAGTATCTAGCTTTTTGTTGCCTGGGTGGCTAGGACACAACAACTATGAGTATGCAAGCTTAGGAAGGATTTGGGTGTTTCATAGGCCTCATATTCAGATTATTGTTTCAAAAGCCACTTCCCAAGCTATGCATTGTCATACTTTTGACAGTACTACTGGCAAGTATTTCTTCCTCAGTGTGATCTATGCGAACTCATACTATGAGAATGTTAGACAAGAACTATGGAAAGAGCTGGTTCTTATCAGTAAAGCTTTCCCTCAAGTGCCTTGGCTGGTGGGGGGAGATTTTAATGAGATCCGATCAATTGAGGAGAGGTCAGATTGGCAACAATCACTCACTTTTGCAAAGAGTTCTGAATTTTTCCAAAACCAACTCAATGAAGCAGAGTTGCATGATCTTCCTTCAAGTGGTTCTTATTTTACATGGGCTAATAGCACAATTTCTAAAAAGTTGGACAGACTCATGGTGAATGAAGTTTGGCTAGAAAAATTTCCATCCACTAAAACGTCTTTTCTGCCACCTGGATGCTCAGATCATTGTGCTGGTTTGGTTGAAATTACTTTGCCTATGGTCAATAACAGAAAGAAGCCATTTAAGTTTTTTACCCTTCAGACCAAGAATGAGGCCTTCTTGACAACAGTTAAACAAATTTGGGACTCTACACACATAAAAGGTTGTGCGATGTATCAACTTTGTAAGAAACTCAAAGCCCTAAAGCCAGCTTTGAAAAAATTGAATAGTGATCACTATGGGGACATACAAGGCAAACTGCAACAGGAAAGAGATAAGCTACATATGCTGCAACTTGATCTATTAGCTAACCCACATGAAGATTTAATACAAGTTGAGCATGAGCAAGCCAATAAAGTAGCAGCTTTGCAACTAGCTGAGGAGTCTTTCTTTAGGCAGAAATCAAGGGTCAAATGGCTACAAGAAGGCAGTAGCAATACCACATATTTTCATAAAGTGGTAAAAATAAGAAAGATGAAGAATACAATTATTGAACTCACTACAATGGATGGAAGGAAACTTACAGCCTTACCTGACATGGAGGCTAAAGCTGTACAATTCTACCAAACTTTGTTAAGAGCACAAGATGTAAATTGTAGAAGGGCAGATGGTCAATGGCTCAAAGACTTGCTGCAATTCCAATTGCCAGAGGATCTATGTACTTTGCTTACACAACCGGTGACTGCAACAGAAATTAAGGCTGTTGTGTTCAACAGCCCTGGAAATAAGGCACCTAGGCTTGATGGCTACACAGCAGGATTTTTTTAAGGCCTCCTGGACGGTTGTAGGTGATTTGGTGATAAAGGCAATTCAAGAATTTTTTACAACTGGAAAAATACTAAAGGAATTGAACTCTACATTGATAACCTTGGTTCCAAAGGTCTCAAATCCTACTAGAATGTCTGAGTTCAGGCCAATTTCCTGCTGCAATATACTTTATAAATTCATCACAAAGATTTTGGCTGAAAGACTAAAGAAATGTCTGCCCCTATTCATCAGTCACAATCAATGCGCTTTTGTGGAAGGAAGGCTAATGGTGGAGCATGTCTTACTAGCACATGAAATAGTAAAGCATTACCACAAGCAGCATCTCAGTTCACGTTGTGCTCTTAAGATTGATTTGATGAAAGCTTTTGATTCTGTCCATTGGGATTTTATTTTCCAAATTTTGGATGCTCTTGGTTTCCCCCCTCTTTTCATAAATTGGCTAGTTGCTTGTATTACTACTCCAAAGCTCTCTGTGGTTTTTAATGGGAATCTTGTGGGATATTTTCCTGGGAAGAAAGGCATCAAGCAAGGTGACCCTTTGTCACCATATATCTTTGTTATATGCATGGAAATTCTCTCCAGAATGCTTAATAAAGCTGCAACAGAGGGACAATTAGCCTACCACCCTAAATGTGCAAAGGTTAAACTCACTCACCTATGCTTTGCAGATTACCTTATCATTTTTACAGATGGAAGGGCATCCTCTTTAGCTGCAATTGATGACACTTTGAAGAGTTTCTATTCTGTTTCTGGTTTGAAAGTAAACTATGCAAAGTCAGAACTTTTTTGTTGTGGAATTCCTACAGATGAGGTTCAGCACTTTACCTCAGTTTATGGATTCAAGATTGGCACACTCCCTGTTAGGTGCCTAGGAGTACCTTTAATCACAGGGAGACTAACAGGAAAAGACCTCAAGCCATTGGTATCTAAGATCACGGACAAAATGAATTCTTGGACATCAAAACACCTCTCTTTTGCTGGGCGACTGCAGTTAATTTCCTCTGTTATTCAAGGAGTCACAACCTTTTGGTGTTCAACTTTTATTCTGCCTAAAAAGGTGATCAAGGAAATTGAAAGACTATGCAATGCTTTTCTATGGAATAACTCTACTGATAGTGCAAAGGGAGCTAAGGTGTGTTGGCAATCTGTTTGTTTCCCTAAACAGGAGGGAGGTTTAGGCCTTAAAAGCCTTAGTCACTGGAACATGGCATGTATATTAAGATTCATTTGGATGATTTTTGCTAAGGCAGGCTCTATATGGGTTGCTTGGGTCAAGGAGTACCTGCTAAAAGATGAGTTTCTAGTATATCAGTATTCCTGCTAACTCATCTTGGGGGTGGAGGAAAATGCTAAAGCTTAGAAGCTATGCTAGAGGATTAATACAGCATGTACTTGGTGATGGTAGTGATATCTTCCTTTGGCATGACTATTGGCATCCTTCAAGACCATTAATGCTTGCATATGGTGCTAAGATTGTACCAGATTCTGGTTTGCAATTATTTGCCAAAGTGTTAGAAGTAGTAAATGGGAATTTTTGGAATTGGCCCCCTGCTCGTTCTCCCCAACTTGTACAAATTCAGATGGCTTTGTTTGACACACTATATCCTACAAGTGGAAAGAAAGATTTAGTTATTTGGACAGCCTCTTCCTCTAGAGTGTTTGATACAAGCAGTGCATGGCATTCTCTATGAGCTAAGCAAAGGAAAGTGCCATGGCACAAGTTGGTTTGGTTCTCACATACAATTCCCAAGCATAGTTTCATTTGCTGGCTAGCAATATTGGACAGATTAACAACGAGAAGTAGACAGAAAAAGTGGACCTCTAGCATTGATGACACTTGCTTGTTTTGCAGCTCAAGAGTAGAAACTAATGATCACCTATTTTTTAACTGCCAGTTTACAAAACAAGTATGGCAAACTGTTTGTAGCATGGCAGAAATTCCTTTATTTTGTTCTTGGCAAGGGCTACTAGCTTGGTTGGGGAAAAGGATTAGAAGGAAGTCCGTATATTGTGCTCTTATAAAGCTTGCATGGAATGCTACTGTGTATCATGTTTGGCGAGAAAGGAACAGTAGAGTTTACAGGCAACAATTCAAATCAGTTTCACATATTGTAAATGATATCCTTTTTGATGTGAGGAACAAGGTTTTAGCCTTTGCAACTCCAAAGTCCTCTTCACTACCGATGTCTATAGCAGTGCAGCGGGGACTTGTATAGGTTCAAAAGCCACCAGTACAGTCTTAGATGAAATCTTTCCTTGGTTAGAGTTGTAATTGATTGTAGTAGCAACTGAATTGCTGCTTATGTGTATATGCTAGTTTTAATGGATAAATAAAATTTTACATTTTATCCAAAAAAAAAATTATTTAAATTATATTTAAGACTTATTTTGTAATAAATTTAGTTTAAAATTGAGTTCTCCTTTAGTATCATGTTTGGTAAATTTATCTTATATTATATTTTTTAATATTTGTTAGTTTAAATTTTAAAAATTATATGTATTTAATTAAATTTATTATTTTAAGTTACTTAAATGCTGATTTTCCCACTAACCTTTGTTTACAGGTGTTTTTGTTGGCATCTCGACAACAAAGAAAAAAAAAAAGAAAGAAAGTATGGCTCTCTGAAACAAAAAAAAAGTATGGGGTCTAAGTAAGCAGGGAGGCAAACTGGTACCCATTCTTGCACAAGTGACCGCACATGTGAAAAAAAAAATAGAATAAATGGGTTTCATTGCCGACCGTTTAGGACTTAACGGTCAGCAGTGACGGCAACATGAACGGCTTCGGGGAAGGGACGACAATGAACCAAAAAAGAGGAGTAGAGGGACGACAACGAACAAATCCTTAGTAGAGGGACAAGAACGAATAAAATCTTTAGTAGAAGTTTTAAACCTTACTTTAAGCAGCACCTTTTACTTTAAGCAGCACCTTTTTCCTTTTTTAATTATACAAGTGTTTCATAAAAGGATCAAGAGTTAATGAATGTCAAGTCAGACAACAGTGCAACACAACTGTATTTTAAGTAAATATGGGTTGTTAATAATTTAAATAATTTAATTATTATTATTTTTGTTAAAAATAAGAAGTTTTAAATTTTAATTATATGATATATTTTAAATATGTATTTCTTAAATATTAAAAAATTATAAAAAAAATAAGAGATTTTTTTAAATAATGGATAAAAATTAAATTTTTAATCAACTAAACTTCAACAATAAAATTTAAAAATAAATTATTAGATTTGAAAATGTCAGTTCACATATTTCAAATAATTAATAAAAAGAAAATATTTAATAAAAAATAATGTCACTTCAGCAAATAAAGGATGGAGGAAAAAAAATAAAATAAAATTTACTTTAGGGACAGAAAAACGAGATTTTTTAATTGAGAGGCTAAAGACGGGCTCAGCACAAAAGTTGAGTGATTAAAATGGAGTTCTAACATTTATTCAATATCAATAGGTTGCAAAGAAAGCATACCTTCAAAAGCAATTCTCATTTGCTTCCCCTACCCTTCCGATTTCGGTAATGGCGGTTTCACATTTCAGCCACAAACACCCTCTAACCCTAGTTGAGG